CAAAGCACCACCCACTTGCCTGGAGGATTCCATCCCATTTTTCCAGCAACTTTGTTTTTGTACAGTTTTTCAGTTGGAGTCAGTGTTTTCCCTCTAAACCTGTAGAGGGACCTGCAGCATGTGTGAGGGTGGCCTGGAGAAGGGGTGAAGTAGATTAACTTTTGAAAACTGTCCAAATGGAGGGATTTTACTTTACTGGGTTTGAATCCTCCAGGCAAGTGGGTGGTCCTTTGGAGACACCAGGTGTCTCTGCCTTAATGAAGGTGTCCCTTAGTAGGAACCTCTTTCCCCCTGTCCCCCCTATTGATTTACTGTGAATGCTCATTTGGTAAATTTGCCTGAGCTGGGTTTGTCTTTGTTGGCTGTTTACAATTGACAATCTCTCCCTGATCCAGAACATCTTTCCATCCTGCATTTCTTTAATTATGACCTCGTAGCATCGTGATTTTGATCATCGCGTTATCGGTGGCTCATGTAGCAGTTGCTTGGACCCAAATTCTGGAATTCCCTCTCATTAAATTTCGCCACCGCGCCCTCTAGAGCTTTAACTGCTGCTTTAAGAACTTACCTTTGACCAATCTTTATTCACCTGACTTTGTCTCCCAATGTGACCCTGGCTCAGTGTTGAATTTCACACACTCCTGTGAAGAGCTTTGAGACTTTAACTCCATTTTAAAAGGCGCTATATAAATGCAAACTGTTATTCTGCATTTTTATTGAGTTTTTTGTTTTGACACCAATCTGAGAGCCACAGGTGGAGTGGCTGCTGTCTCCTTACTGATAATCGCTTGGTGTGAGCCCCGTTCAGTCATTTTCGACATTTAAACTTGCTGTGTACCTCTGAAACAGAAGGTTATTGGTTTGAATGCTACACCAGAGACTTCTGAGCAAAATTCAGACTTTTTCCCTGTATCGGTACTCAGCGGGTGCTGCACTGTTGAAGAACCCCTCTTCCAGATGAGTAATTATGATAAGGTTTTATCTGACTTCAGTTTGATGTAAGAGATCCTGTAGCCAGCATTCTTGGGCAGAGTAGAGGAGCTCTATAGAAGGTTAAAGTTCGAATCTTATCCAGCAGCATGAAGACAGATTCTCTGAAGCTTATTGCATAGCCATTTGTGGGATCTTGCTATGCTGTGCCATTATTTCCAAGCATGTTCTCCTTTCTTGTGCCCTCACTAATGGTCTGGGTTTGAAATCGTGTTGGTCTGGGGTTCTGTCATTGTTCTGTAGAGGGATGGTGTATTTAAGGGCTGATGTTGTGACCCCTTGTCTAAGGGGTAGAATCTCCTTGAATTGGTAGGCCCTCTCTGAGACGTCATTGTTGGGGACAGAGCAGAGCTGGAGATCCTAACCATGATATAATCATTAAGTGGATCCTAAATGGAATCCAGGTGAAGGGTGACAATGTGGAATTTGTCACCACAGTGTGCTTGATGTGAAATAGCGTGCAGCAATTAACTGGAACATGGAGAAACAGGAGATGAAGGATGCTCGAACAGATGCGGAGGAAGATGTGTGAGACATGAACACTGGTGTAAACTAGCCAGGCTGATTGCGTTGGGAAATGGAGTATGGTTTGGCTCCACTTCTAATGGGGGAGCTGTGTGCCTGGAGTTTCCACTGCAGCTCTGCTCCACACCCTGTTACTGTTGAGATTAGGAACTCTCCCTTGATTAAAAGATCCACTCTCCTGAGGTATTTTGAGCTCTACAAAGATTCCTTTACTTTTCATGCTCGTGATCACTAGTCAGATTTGAGATGTAGCTGCTCAATGTGGATTTTGGATACCGTTGAACACTCCCAGGACAGGGACAGCATGCCTTTAGATACAGAGTAAAGCTCCCTCTACACTGTCCCTATCAAACACTTGCAGTCATAATGCTTTTTTTTTTCCCTCTTACCCCCACAACTTGTCCTGTGAAGTTATTTTTCACTTTTCAGGACAGTTGAGTGCTATGGGAACCCATTTTTCTTTTCTGTTTGATCCTGACCACAGCCATTTTAGATCAGCATATGCCCAAAGTACAGGCGAAAAGATGTTACTTCACTCACTGCATCTTTGGCTGATGAGTCATTTTATTTTTGAGCTGGATATTTATCACTGATATTTGTTACTATCTCCTACTGACTCTGTGCTTTCCAATCTCTCTGCGCCTCCAATTCTGGCATTTTGCATGTTGTTGACTTTCATCACTGCACAATTGGCTGTGCCCCCAGCTGCTTGGGTGCTGGGTTCCAAATTCCCTCCCTAAACCCCTTTGCCTGCCATTCAACATGTCTTAGTGTCAAATGCAGTTTGATAATGTTCCAATGAAGAACAGGACCATCAGGAACAGGCAATGGCCATTTGGTCCCTTGAGTCTGCTCTGTAATTCAATAGGATCGTGGGCTAGTCTGACGTTCTTCAGAGTCGTGCAGCATAGAAACAGACCATTTGGTCCAACCAGTCCGTGCCAAATATAATCCCTAACTAAACTGCGCCTGCCTGCTCCTGGCCCATATCCCTCGCAACCTTTCCTGTTCATGTACTTATCCAAATGGCTTTTAAACGTTGTAATTGGACCCACATCCACCGCTTCCTCAGGAAGTTCCATCCACACTCGAACCATCTTCAGTGTTTTTAAAAAAAAAAAAAAAAATTTGCGCCTCACATATCTTTCTTTTAAATCTCTCTCCTCTCACCTTAAAAATGTGCCCCCTAGTCTCGAAATCCCCCATCCTAAGGAAAAGACACCTACCAATGTCTACTTTCCTGCCTTTTCCCCATAACATTTAATTCCCCACATGATCAAGAATTGATCTGTCCCAGCCTTAAATGTACACAAGGACTCTGCCCCTGCTGCTGTCTGTAGCCAGGAGTTAGAGACCAACCCTCCGAGAAGAAATTCCTCCCTATCTCAGTCTTAATTGGAGCCCCTTTATTCTGAGACTATGCCCTCTGGTCCCAGACTCTCCCATGAGGGGAAACCTCCTCTACTCTATCAAGCCCCTTAAGGATCCTGTATGCCTCGATGATATTCCTCCGTTTCAGTTCTGCATGATGTTAATCCTGATTTATAAATGCAGCTTGCATTTCATCTGACATGCTTGTCCAATACTTTAACAATTTACTTTTGCTGCCTCATGCACACACTCTGCTGGAGGATGCAACTGAGTGCAGGGAGGTTGATTGGAGACTGTGCCAAGTTGTGCATGAGGAAGGAATTGCTGTCCTTGTGTGACTTGGTAGTCTGTTCCTCATTCAGACAAGCAGATTAACCTGTGATGTTTGTGTTGACAACTGACCAAAGCTTCTGGCTAAATGGAGGCCTTTCTGGGTGCTCTCCTCACAGCTCACCCACGTGCCTTGAAAGCACAAGGAGTTCACATTCCAATTGGACAGTATTGAGAGGGGGCTGGACCACCTGTTAATGCTGTCACTTTAATCTCCTTCTGGTCAGTGACTCCTGAAAGAATCTGCACAGCTCACATGAGCTGGGAGGCTTACTTGCCCAGATCAGTTGTTCAGAGCTTTCAACTTCACTCAGTGTCTCACTCTTAATGTAGTTCCTTTAAACTCACCCTGACTCTGTGATTAACCTTATCCTTGTGTTATACAGTGACAGGCCTGTCCCCACTAGTGCTGTACCCCAGTGTTATATGCAGTGACAGGCCAAACTGGTGAAATTGGGTCTGGAATCAGCAGGATTGGTCTTTTATTCAGTTTGTCCTTGTTATTTCTGTCTTAGATCAAAAGATTCTCCATCACAGCGGTGAGGCATTGGAAACATTGGTGCTGATAAACCCTTCCAGTGAGTCTCTGTGTGCTGAGGTGAGACATCAGATGTTTCTCTTTGACTTTGTAACCTTTCGATAAACACCCCACTGTCTTCCCCTTTTCCCAGTATATCAGGCTTTGTCCTTGCTCTCTGGTATCCTGATTTTTCTCAGTCAAATGTTGTGCTTTGTGCCTGCCACAGTTGACTAGGCTGACCCGTGGGTGGTTAAGCCTTGCTCTGGCTGCCTCCCCCTCTTTCACCTAATGATGGGTGTGTTGCAATCTATGGCCAGTCAGTGCGGTCATGTATCTGGCGGTTCATTTTATTGTTTTGTTGAATTTTCAGTGGCTCAGTGGCTAGCTGTCTGCTCCGATTTTGTGTGTGCGTGTGTGTTCCCTGCTCTAGGCTGACCCTCCGGTGCAAGGTCCCACCTTTCTGATCAGACTTCAGATTGAGGGCCTGAATCCTGGCTTGCTGTGTGTAGAGATCCTGAGGCACTGTTTTGGGGTTAAATGAAGGGAGTTCTCCCCTGTTTCATAGACAATATTTATTTGGCCCCATGTCCCTGAAATAGTGCGTCTGATCGTTTTACTTGCAATTTGTGGGATTTTGCAATGCCAAATTGACAAGCATGTGTTCCAGCCCTTCAACTCAGCTAGGAGTTGATTGTAAAGTTAGCCCCTTAGATGTTGGAAAATGTTATTGCTGGGACCAAGTGAGAAGGACTAAACTGGTTTCCTCTTTTCTACCTTCTCTAGTTGTAATAAAGATTTGCATTCTTTTTAACTATGGTCTACAACTTTTTCCAATTAAAAATATAGGCAATTAATCTTTGGCTCTTTGATGCTTAAAGCAATCAAAGGATTTCCTTGTGTAAGAGAGTTTCTGACTCTCTAATCTAGAAAACAATAATAAAGACAACATCTAGCATATGACCTCCAAGTAGTTAGCTGTGTCATCTCTGGCACAAAGGGTTTCCTTGAGGTATAAAGGTTTAATTTGAGCTCACTTGGTTAGTAAATGTTGCAGTTATCACAAGTTCTTTGTTCTCTTCCTTTCCCATCAGTGCTGTCCCTCACCAAGTGCGTTTTCTTCAGTAGAGCCTTCTCCACTTGTGTTGCATTCTATAGTCTTAAATCCTGGTCTGCCAAAACAACACGCTTTGAAAGTGTTTGGAATCCATATCAAATCATTTCGGTCCCTGAAAGTCCTGTGTATTAAACTGGCTGAAGGAATTGCAAGATCAATAGCTTACATTTTATGGCATTGTGACACGAAATAAATTAAAAGTTCTTTTAATTGCACCAGTTCTTTTATTAGTGGATGCTCTTAAAGTGGCACTTGTGGTTGTGATGCCAATTGTCACTGGGGTGGTTTGGTCCCACCCCAATAGTCCATTTCAAACTCTGCAGTGCAGCAGCTGAAGTCAGGAGGCTGCAATAATCCAGCACCTTTTTCTTTGCATTAACACAATCAGCTACTTGGACCTGTGGCTGACTTCTGTGTTTCCATTTCCGTTATAGGTCCGGATTCTGATCGCTGCACCATCAAGACACAAGCTCCTGGTGTTGGCTGGGCCATACCTGGAGGAATCTGGTGACCTCCTCTTGCAGAAAAGATCCTTCACACTCCAGGATTTCATCCAGATCTTCACAGATAAGGAGGTTGTCTCTGACAGTGCTGTGTCTCCTGTTTCACTGTCTAGAAGTCTGATTTCAAAGTTGAATTGCACCTTGTTTGTTTGTTTGTTTGTTTGTGTGGGCTGCTGGTCTTCCTTCTAGCCACTTCCAGCTATAATCTCCTGTAATGTCATGTTGCACCTGTCCTGGGACAGTTTCGGGGGAACTTTGCTTTGTGTTTACTTTCTGTTTGAGTAGAGGGAGATTTACATTGTATTTAACCCCAAGATCCCCAGGACAGGAATGTTTGACCGTGACAGTGTAGAAGGTGTTTTACATTCAATTTAAAAAAGTGGAGGAAGCTTTAATTTTGGTTTAAAAGCGCAGAAAGAGTATTAATCTGTATCTGACCTCGTTCTGTTCTTGTTCTGGGAGTGTTTGATGGGGTGGGGGACAATATGAATTTGAGGAAGAGAAATTTGAAATTGTCTGCAAGCAGGTGATGGGTTAATGGAAGCTTCTGCGAGTTGGGACCCAGGTGTCAGGGATTTTGGTTGAGCTGACGTTTCTGAAAGTAAGAATAAGGTGCTGAATTAATGTGATGGCATTCTGCTTTCCTCTTAGATTGGAGAACTGTTGAGCTTCACACCTCCTGCTGACAAGGCCAGCCTTACTCTGGCCTGCCCTGACTTGGGAGAATGGAAGAAATCGAGCCTGGAGAAGCACAGTCTCCAGGAGTTCATCGAGATCAGGCTGAACCCTCCAGTCACACTGCCAGAGATGGAAGGGCTGCAGGAATTCCTGGAGTATCTCTCTGAGACCATGGAGGCACCCTCCCCCTTTGACCTACTGGAGCCCCCGGCCACCGTGGGCTTCCTAAAGCTCTCCAAACCCTGCTGCTACATCTTTCCCGGAGGCCGAGGGGACTCGGCTTTCTTTGCAGTCAATGGCTTCAATATTCTGGTGGACGGAGGATCAGATCAGAAATCCTCATTTTGGAAATTGGTTCGCCACCTCGACAGGATTGACGCTGTCCTGTTAACTCACATTGGGACCGACAACCTGCCTGGTATCAACAGTCTGCTGCACAGGAAGCTGGCAGAGCTGGATGATGACCAGTCTCTAGGCTCTGAATTGAACAATGACTGGACGAAGCATCTTATTTCTCCTGAGATTGGAGTCATGTTTCTCAACGCACCCAAGAAGCTACAACATGTTGAGAGAAACAATGTGAGGAGAAGCATTGATGAGGTTAGTGTGACGCTTCAGTATTTGGACCTGTTGCATATTAACCCAGTGCCACTCTATAGAATTGTTGGCAATTCTTTAGAACCTCTAATTCTCTTTCAAAAGATGGGAGTTGGACGACTGGAGATGTATGTCCTGAATCCAATTGAAGGGAGTAAGGACCTGAGCTACTTGATGCAACAGTGGGCAGGCAATGGTTGTCCAAAAGGAGGGAATGTTCCGCTTCAATGCCAGGTTTCCATTTGTGTCCTCATTGTTTGGCACCCAGCAAGTCGGGTCGAAAAGATAATTCGGGTGCTGTTTCCTGGTTGCACTCCTCAGAACAAGATTCTGGAGGGACTGGAAAAGGTGAAGCACCTGGATTTCCTGAAGCAGCCTTTGGCCACCCAGAGCGAGCTGGAGTCTCGGCAGAAAGACAAAGGCCCAAAGCCCAAACGGGCCGAAAGTCGGGAGAGTCTCCACAGCCTCAGCAAGGGGTCGAGTGGTAAGGGAGGTCGTGACCCAGAGGCTGGCCTGGTCGGATCGCGGCTGGGGTCTGCCAAACCCCGGGTAGAGAGGAAGGACAAGTCTGGGAAAACTAAAGCTGACACAGCAACCTCCAGTGAGGGAGCAAAAGAATCTCGCCCCAATATGTCAGCAGAGCCGAAGGCTAGAGAGCAAGGTGGGGACAAACTGAAAACCACCACCCAACTGAAACCATCCAAGGAAAAACTACAAAAGAAAGAGGCCAAGCCAATGAAACTGGAAGAGAATAAGGATGTGAAAGTCTCTAAAAGAGAAGAAAGAAAGGATTCAGAGGAAAAGAAGCTGGTGAGAAAAGAGATATCAAAACAAGTTAAAAAGATGGAGCCTAAAAAAGACGAAAAGACAGGAGCCAAGGCCCCCGTGAAAAAAATGTCCTCCATTTCTTCTGACAGCAGAAAGTCTTCAGCAAAAAGCAATATGCCAAGCAAAGAGACCAAAAAAGATCTACATACTTCTGCAAAAGGGTCTCTCAAAACCAAACCAAAGCTTCAGAATAAGGAGACTGCAGCAGATTGCAAACAGGCTGCAGGCAGCATATCCCTCACCGAGAAGGGTCCCGAGCTGTCTACTTCCAAGATGTCCACTCCTGAGGATGTGACAGCCGATTTTGAACATCTCGAACCAGCTGAGCAAGAGGTACAGGCACGAGGTGCAGAGACTGGGTCAGAAGGGAATGAAGGGAAGGTGGTCATACCAGACGAAACCTCACCTGATGAGGGCTTCACTACGATGGAGAATGAAAGTGAGCTGGAGTCTTCTCCCCAAGATGATGGCCAGCTTGTCGACACTACCATCCCTGAAAGGGAGGACCCAGTCGTCTTGGAGTTCGAGCCACACGATGGGGGCAAGAGTACAGAAGAGAAACAGGAAGCCAGAGGTGACGCAGAGGCTGAATCTCATCAAGGTATGATTAGAATTAATCATATTAATGGTCTGATCTGTGATACTGAAAATGAAGATGGTTTTGAGATGGAAAGTCCTGATAAATTCAGATATCTTGATGAAAAGTTAAGCCCTAGTAGGAACATGGCAGCCCTTTCACCTCTTCCTAAAACCCCACGGAGTGATCGTAGTGTTAACTTTGACCTAACACCAACTGAGCTTGGGCCACTAGAGGAAATTAAAGGGCAGATGTCGGTCAACAACCAGGAGACTCTGGAGGACCAGTGTGCAAGCTCTGAGGAGAAGACCTTGGAGATGGTCTCTCCTCCAGGATCAGGCCCTGCCAGTGCTGGCCATACCCCATTCCATCAATCACCCATTGATGAGATCATTCCCAGAGGTGAAGATGGCTTAATTGAGAGAGTTTCCAGCCTTCTCAATGAGGAGACCCAGTTGAACAATGCTTGTAATAAGCTTTTAGATGGAGGACCCCAGTCAAATGCACGACTACCTTTTGAAAACACCAGTGCTCCACTGGACAGACATACTGGCTTCCTGACCTTAAGTCCATTCAAGGAAGTAGTCCCTGATGTTTCGCTGACTCTGACCACCCCCTCATTGCCAGCTGAGGTTGGTTCTCCTCATTCCACAGAAGTCGATGAGTCTCTGTCAGTCTCCTTTGAACAAGTTCTGCCACCTGTGAGTGAAGCTCTGGCCTCTCCAAGAGAGCATAACCAGAGGGGACCTTTCAATGGTCTTTCTCCTGAACATGAAACCTTCTCAGCAAAGGGCGACCCTCCTGGCATGAGCTTGCCCTTGAAATCGTTGCAAGATCCATTCCGGGCTCCACAGGTGCCATTGGGCAGTGCCTTGGATGGTGATGGTGTGTTAACTCGCGGCGATGGAATTGATGGGCATTTGCCACGTGTGATGGCTCTGCCCTCCGAGTCTCCTCATGATGTTGACTTGTGCCTCGTATCACCCTGTGAATTTAAGCACCCAAAGACTGAACTCTCACCCTCCATCAACCCCAGCCCACGGGAGTTATCAGACGAAAGTGACCTTTCCCAGGAATTTGCCAAGCCGGTTGGCCAAAGGAGAGGTCACAGGTCTCCCTCCAGTCGAAAGGCAGCACTGGATGAAAGGACCCCAACCTCTGCCAGTGAGTCCCTTCCAACCCTTTCAGGTTCTGATGCCCAGCCTGGGACTGAGGACTGCCCGTCCATCACTGCAGATGGTGGCATTGACTCTGAGGAAGAATCTGAGATCCTTCCTGCCGACAGGTCTCATTCTCCTGTGTCTTCAAGACCATGTGACCCTCTGCCTGCCCCGATGAAAGACCCTCACCCACCCCCACCCCAACCTGGTATCTGTATGGTAGACCCTGAAGTACTGACACACAACTCTACCAAAGATGCCAGAGAGAGGACGAAAGGCAAAAAATTGGGTTCAAAGCCGACTTTGGGCTCTGCAGCAAGGAAAACTGAAAACACTAAACAATCGACTCTCTCCAAACCAAAAGGTCACCAACTGACGCCCAAAGAGTTGGATAAGATGGCCACAGGCAGTAAGAACAATGAACCAGCGAAGGTTTTCAGAGTAAGTTCCAACCAGTCAATAAATTCGGAGGAGAAGAAGGGAAAGTATCTTCAAACTACAAGTTCCAAACCGCCTCGCAACGTGGTGACAGGTCAGTTACATAATGTGGGTAAGACTGTATTCTTGTCAGATGCGGGGCCAGAAAGGAGCTGTCAGTACTTCGGAAGAACTTCTTGTAAAACATTACTGTGGGATTGAGTTGTCCATAGATCACTAAAATGTCGTGGTCTCGTACAAAAAAGCCAATATGAATGGAATGCAGACTTTCCAGCTATTGGGTTAGAAACTGAAAGGTTTTGGAGCTTCTGCCTCTGTTACATAGGGTCCAGATTAGAGCAGCCCACAGCCAGAGTAGGTATCTGTTCTGAGTCTCTCCTCATTCAATAGCTTGATTTTGGAAAGTGTGCAATGCAGACTCACTAGAATTTTCAAAGAGTTAGATTACAAAGAAAGATCACATTAAATGAGGCTGGGGGTAATATTTGCTGGAGATTTTCCTAGGATCTTGAAAAGGATAAGTTCACTAGACAAGGGGACCATTATTTTTTCCCTCAGGCAGAGGGCAGGACAAAGATATAACCTCTTAAGATCTGAGCCATGCCATTCCGAGAGAAATGGCAAAACATAGTCAAGCAAAGGCTAATAGAATTGTGGAATTACCTTAAAAATAGACGAGAAATGTTAGCTCATAGATCAATGTTTAAATGATTATATTTCTGCTCAACTAAGGACATGAAAGGATATGAAGTTGTCAGTAGGTGGGAGTGATAGATTCAATACGCGCCAAATGGCTGCCTACTGTTGGTGCACTCGGTGTCTCCATTTTCTTTCTCTGATTTCTGCCTTTCTTGAGGGTATCCATCTGGTTCTGAAGAGTCACATATTCTGTGACACTAGCTCATCACCATTGCTGGGCCGATTTGGTTTGTTTCAGAGTTGTTGCTCAGTGGCTACCGAGCTGGAGTTGTATGGGATTTGAAAGTTGACATGCCCAATGCTTGCTTTTGAGGTGATGTGGTCAAGACTCAGGCACTTGTTTGCAGGTGAGAGGGTGTCTCTGCCCATGTCAGGGCCACCCCAGGAGTAGGGAGGGGCAAATGTCATTTTCCCAAGGTGACTAATCCAGGTTCATCCACAGAAGGGAATTTTTGTTCCACAACATTTCTTGTTGTTGGTCATCGTATTTCCTAAATGATCTGATCGAGGCTCTTGTTGATAGCATCTCCCAGCTTAAGGAGCGAGAAACCCTACTCATTCCAAGTTGTTGCTGTTGCAGGTGCAGTGAGCAAGGCTCCTTCTGTGGGATCCCCTGTTTATGTTGATCTCGCCTACATTCCCAACAACCATAGTGCTAGAACAATCGACGCAGACTTTTTTAAACGGCTGAGATCTTCAATCTACGTCATAAGTGGAGATGATCCCCAGAAGGAGAGGGCGATGAGGAACATTCTGGACTCTCTCCTGGAAGGCAAAGCCGTGTGGGGGGATAATATCCAGGTGAGGGAATTTTCCTTTGTGCAATTGTCACCAATCTGCCAGTACCTCAGTTTCCACCATCTCGCTCCTCTGGATCCTACAACCCTCCGGGATATCTGCTTTCACTTTAAGTTGGCTGTCTGTGCATTCCTGATTGGGTTTTTTTTTTCTTCTTATTTATCAGCCCAAGGTTCTGGAATTCTCTCCCTTAAACCCTCTGCCTCTCCTCTCATTCCAGGAATCTCCTTAAAACCTACCTATTTGACCAAACCTTTGGTCATTCAACCCTGACTTAATGTCCCCTTGTTTGGGAAGATGGTTGTGTATAGTGGTAATGTCATTGGGCTAGTAATCAGAGTCTCAGGCTCATGTTCTGGGGACATGGCTTCAAATCGCACCATAGCAGTTAGTGGAATTTAAATTCAAAACTAGATCTGGAATCTAAAGCTAATCTTTGTAACTAGGACAGTATTGTTGGTTATTAAAAACCCATCCAGTCCCCTGTAGCCTTTTGGGGAAGGAAATCTGCTGTTTTTACCCAGCCTGGCCTCCGTGTGAATCAAGAGCCACAGCAATGTGGATGACTATTAACTGCCCTCTAAAATGGCCTAGAGAGCCACTCAGTTGAAGGGCAACTAGGGATACGCAACAAATGCTGTTCTTGCCATAAATGTCCACATCCCATAGAGAATTAAAGGACAGAAAAGGTTGGCTCAGTTTTTGTTTTAATTCCCTCTAGTTCAGTCATATCATGAAAAATAAAAGATCTATTTAATGGGATGTGGGTAGTTATTGGCAGCGTTGATGTTTATGAACCGTCCCTAATTGCCCACGTGAAGGTGATAGTGATGAGCTGCTGCCTTGATTCACTGTAGTCTGGCTTTTGCAGATTGTGATGTTAGGGGGGTGCATTAGACTGAGATCCTGTCCGTCCTTCCGGGCGAATGGAACAGATCCCAGGCTGCTTTAAGAAGAACACAGGAGGTCTCTGCAGGTTTGTGGCCAATGTCTATTTCCCCACATTGCTGAAAGCCGAATGGTCTGGTCGTGATAATGCTGTTTGTGGCTGACCTTTTACTGAAAGTGGTTGCTTTATTTCTTACAGCACAGCCAGCCCTTCCAAAATATTTCAATGGCTGTAAAGGTTCTTTGGGTCATCCTGAGGTCACAATGTGCTATTAGAATACAGGTTTTCTTTTTACAAGGAACTTCAGGGAGCTTGGTAAGGGTTCTAATGTAGTGTCACTCGACCCAAAACATTAACTCTAATTTCTCTCCACAGATGCTGCCAGACCTGCTGAGCTTTTCCAGTAACTTGTTTTTGTAGTTGTTGGTAACCTCCCACCTTGGCAGTTTGAACAGTGTGTTTTCTTCCTACTATAACTTTTTGTTCTGCTTTTTCAACACTGCTGGGGTTAAGTAACAGGAAGAATTTGTTTTAAAGTATCTGGAAGTGGCCATGAAGCCAGACAGACATCTTCCCTTTTTGCAGAATGAGCCGTGATGCCGATGAGCCGCCATGTCTTCAGAATAACCTGCCCTTCGCTCTCCAGTCTATACTTCAGGGTCTCGAGTCCCAATTTTGTGTCCTTCCTCAAGTTCCACAGGGTTCTTTTGAAGCTCTAGCAAGTTCCTTGCTGGCTGTCTCAAGTCATGTGATCCTGTACTGTTTTATTTGCAGGTCACCATAATCCCAACCTTTGAATCTCCGATCATGCACGAGTGGTACCAGGAGACCCATGAGAGGCAGCAGTCACTGAACATCACAGTGCTGGGGAGCAACAGCACTGTTGTCATGCAAGAAGAGACCTTTCCAGCCTGCAAAGTGGAATTCTGATCAGGCGTTTGTTCACCAAACAGAACTTTTTTTAAGCGCTTTTGTTGTGCGCAGGGAGTTGTAACCCTTTTTTTTGGATTAATCCCACCCTCTAATAGGCAAAAATATTGATCCTTCTCTGGAGTGTTTCTGGTGATGTATCAAGTAATGCACATTGACCCCCCCCCCCTCCAAATTTCTTACATTTCATGTGATGCTTCAAACGTTGCACGACCATCTCAGGCCCAAGATCCCTGCGAGCACCAGTGAACTGGGTGAAGGGCTGAGCTGTGACAATGGGGGAGGGCAAGAGCCTGCTGGGACCAAGAGGTTAGAATGGTATCTGGTGGCCACCAAATACTTTTGGAATGAGGGCTACTTGTTTTCCTTTTGTATGCAAATAGATGACAGGGTTTTTAGTCTTGTTCACTGTGCAAATCACTTGGCATAAAGGAGAGCACTCACTGACTGCTCTGGAGCTGGCTTGGTTCTCCCCATGGTCTCTAGAGTGACAGCTTGGCTCGTGAGCTTTTTAATTCCAGCCTGTGCTTGTGGCTGTTCTATTGCCAATTGTAACAGTGAGCGAAGTCTCTGGTGTAGGGTGGGTTTTCTCGTGACCAGTCACAGTTTCAATTAGTTACAGAGGGCGTAAATAAACTCCTCCACTAGGTGCCCAGGCCCTTTTCAGTAGGAACGTTGGAGCTAACATTCACACTGATCCCACACTGTTCTCACTAGAAGTCTAACCTCCTGGGTTATGGGCTCCATCAGCGCTGACTTGCTGCTGGCATTTGAACCAAATGATCCATCCTTCATGCAAGTCTAATGATGTGTCAGCAGGTGAATTGACCTGGATGACTCAGTAATTAGGCTGGTTTACACTCCTGTCCAGTTATCTCCTGGACTGGACCTTGTAAACTATCCCAGTGATAGACTCATCTCTGTCAGGCCTTGATTTAGACCTGACTGACAAATTAAACTCAACGCTGGCTGCATTCATAAATGAGTAAGGGCCAAGCTGCTTTGATTATCATTGATTTTCTCAGCCATTTTCCATTTCCAGGAAGGATGGTGACTGAAGGCAATAGCATGGGGAAAATCTTGTATCGCCTGGTTCTGGTTTAGTTGTGCAACTATAAACATCCTACCCTGGTTGTGCATATCTTTGATGTCAAGTTTCTCTTTGATCCAATGTTAAACACTCACCAATGCACCCAAAGACACAAAACCAATCAGCTGAGATCAGCCACAGACCGTGGTCTTATCCAGTAGAAGTTCATGAGTCTTTGGTTGAAACCAGGGTTGAAGAGGAAAGTTACGATGGGAGTTCCTTGTTGCCCAGCAGATTGAGTCAGCATTTTTGGGTACCTGTATACCACATCGCTTTCAGAGTGAAGAAAAACAATTTACCCTGTTAAATCACTGCTTCAAGAACGTTCCACTATAAACAGGAGGAGCTCTGATACCTCAGTATAAAATATATTCTGCATGTTAATCAACTTCGATTGTATTGTGGGTGAGGGTAATATTTTTATTTATTTGTGGGATGTGAGCATTGCTCACCCAGCCAACATTTATTGCTCATCCCTAATTGCCCCTGAGGAGGTAGTGATGATCTGAGCGAAGGTGGATGGTATTTTGTTCTCTCCCTCCTGAATAATAGCTGAAGACTATCACTTTGCAAACTGCAACAAAGTGGGAGTGGAGGAGATGATATTGATTTTAAATTTGAGTCAGACTTGATAACAAACATCACCTAAATTATCTTGGACTCAAACCCATCATCAATATGATAGGAAGCACAGGAGAGAATTGAAGTAATGACAGTTTGTGTGGTCCTAGTTTTCAACTGTGAAACACATGACTTCTGTTCCTTCCACACCAGTCACCTTTCCCCATGTGACAGGGCTGCTGTGACCTGCAAATGACTCTAACGTCAAGTTGATACTACCATTGGCAGACAATTGAATTACTGCTTTGGTGAATTGTTCTTATCAGTAAGAGTTTTGTTTCCCAGTCATTCACGGTGACATGAGAATGCAAACAGTTTATGGCCTGGTAAAGCTTCGTTCAGTGTGGTGATCTCAGCTGTGAGACATCGCTTATCTGGAAAGGGTAGGTAGTCTGGATGCAGAATACAGTGTCTTCATGTTGACTTCTTGACAGAGGGCCTTCCCATTGCTGGATGGAGATGATATCACCGGCCCAATGTCTCCATCAGTCTAATCCTGGTAATGGCAGCTTGGCCATTTTAGCCAGACACTGAGTCAACAGACACCTACTTGTGACTTGAGTGAATGATGGTTGGGAAAGTAGATTAAAGAGCAGATGGATGTATTTGGAGGCGAGTGTAGAGTGCTATACTGCTAAGGGTTAGAGGGGTTAGAATGATGACTATATTCTAATGCTGACGGGGGCCAAACTCCACTTGGAAGATCAGATTGTGGGTGTTGTTCAATGCTTTCAAATTGTCTGAACTGCAGGTTCATGTTAAAAGTTCTCTTTTTGGTCTAGACAAAGCAAATGGCCTTTTGTTGATGGTTGTTGAAAGGAAAGTAGGTGGAGGGACAAGTGAAATCAAAACCAGGAAGCATCAATCCTCCTATGTTTAACACAGATCTGCCATAAAAGCCACTTTCTCCTTCTCCACTGTCTCCTTGGAGTGTGGACTGCAAGGCTAGACCTGTTGTCAGCCCTCCCTATAGGGTCTGTCTTCCCCTCATGGGGTATTGGGCAACATGGGATGTGCTCTCTGTTTACATGGAGAACAATAGTAGTTCAAATTTTAATAATCTTGTGCCCTGAAATCAGCTAATTTAATCCTGTACACTCCACTGAGAGCATAGAGAGCTCATGACACACAAGCATGTAACTGAAAAAGCTGCAATTTCAAACCAGTTATTTATTCTCAAAATTAATATATAATAAGCTTTTGGTTATGGTTTACACTTTTTTAATTGCTGCCTTATCTGAGCAGCATTGTTTTGTCAAACTTTTCATTACATTTTTTTATTGTGAGGTTTAATCAGTATTAAACACTAATTGGTGAATTATTTTAAGGTTAATTCAATGGAGGATGCAAATGTTTGTCCTGATTTATGCATTTCATTGAGAATTGTACTGTAGTCCTGAATATGTATGTGAAACTTTCCATAACTGCTGTCTGTGCATTACATTGACAGGATATCATGTGTTTTAAAGGGTAGTGTGTTTACACATCAGTAGGTGGGGATAATGCCTATCTCAGAATTGATGGGAGGCGCTACCAACCAACCTTGTTAGAAGTATGGATGTTTGATTTTAGCCTAAAATAATAGAAAATGCAAGGTTTCTCCCCATACAGAGTGGTGATTGATTCGATCCTCCATTGTAGATGCTGGGGGAGCTCATACAATTTAACTGTTGACGCCACCTCCCCGCTCCCCCCGCGCGCACACTCCATTTGTAAGCACCCATATTTATACTGTTAATTTGGTTCACTGGTAAGGGGAGGGCTTGCAGGGGGTGGGTGTGCTGTGTGTCATTTGGGGAGGGAGTCTCTCTTCAGTGTTTCACTTTAAATGGGGAGGTGTCTGCATGGAATTGCTTAAGTCACTTCCCTGTTACTGTGCAGAAGCCCAGGCTGCTAGTTGTTCCCATTTGCTTTTGAGGATTGTCTGTGTATGTGCACAGACTGATCTATCCGTTGGCACTACTGTTTTTAAAAAAAAAAGTCTGGCTTTATGATGAAATTGAACAATAAAATTTAATTAAAGGAACTGATTTTCCTTGTTGTGCATTTTCTTTTTCCAGATCCCAGACAACCAAACTATTGACCATGCCGACTTCTAAGGAATGAGCTGCTCTGTCCTTAATCAAATTCTTTCAAAGTCCTCTGACCCTTTGCAGATACACAACCACTTTTCCTCATCTGTTCATGGGATGTGGGTGTTGGACTAGCATTTATTACCCATCTCATTGTCCTGGAGAAGATGGTCGTGAGCTGCCATCTTGAACCACTGTAATCGATTGTAAGTGCACTATTTTCAGGAGTTCCTGGATTTTTCACCCAGTGACACTGAGGAATGGTGATGTATTTCCAAGTTAGGATGGTGAGTGGCTTGGAGGGGAACTTCCCATGTATCTACTGCCCTTGTCCTTCCAGCTGGTAGAGGTTACAGGTTTGGAAGGTGCCTTGGTGACTTTCTGCAGTGCATCCTGTAGATGGTACACACTGCTGCTGCGTTGATGGTGGAAGGAAGTGAGTGGTGGATGGGATGCCAATCAAATAGGCTCCTTTTGTCCTGGAGGGTTTCAATTTTTTTGTGGTGCTGCACCCATCCAGGCAGGTGGTGAGTAGGGGGGATGCCTAGAAGCTGGCATATAGGTGAACATTCAGCCCCTCGAGCCTTGTCGAGCAGTAAACCATTTTAACTTTGAACTAACCCTCAGCACCCACTCTTTCCAGATTTCCACTCAAGTACGGGTAGTTGACAAGCTCTGTGAATGGACCTGTCTTAGATTTTAAAGTTTGGGTTCCCCCGTTCTCAATTTTACACTTTGTTTTGTTCTCCACTACTATTTTCCTACTCTCCTTCAATCCCACCCACAGGAAATGTTTTCTCCCTTTTGCACCTATAAAATCCTTTAATCATAAGCACCAATGAGATGACCACCCTCTATTATTTGAAACCCAATAGAATTAAGTGTCCCTGTCCTTCCTAATTGAACTTATCGAACTTCTGAGCTCTCCACTTGCCAGGTCCTGACCCTGCTTCCATTTCCCACCCCGACCTCAAAAGGATAATGAGCAGTGAAACTGCACTGGGTGCTGTGTTTGGATCCTTTTCTCAAGTTAATAAGAGTAGGTTGGAGCTGAAGCTTCATTTACGGAGGATGCCAGCTGACAGTGCCTCTGATTTGAGTTGATCTTTTCTTGCTGTTTTGAGAATGGGGTGAGCTGTTGCTGTGGTAACAGGCATGTGATATCTTTTCCCTGTGTTGCATTGAGAATTGTAGGAAAAACATTCTACGTTTAAACTCTGTTTTAAGTGGAACTGGTTTGAGAGTGAGTTTAATCTCTCAAAATATGAACAAGCAGCATAGGAGCTGGAGTAGGTTATTTAGCCCTGCAGACTTGCTCTGCCATTCAACAGGATCATGGCTGCTCTGATTGTGGCCTCAAATCAACTTTCTTCTCTGTTCCACATAATCTTCGATTCCCTTCACCAATCGAGATTCTGTGTATGACACCATCTTGAATATCTGACCCAGCCTCGGCTACTGTCTGAAGGGAATTGCTCCATATAACAGCCCTTGGTGGGGTGCAACTCTCCTCATTTCCATCTTTGTTTATAAACAAGGTGTCTCTTTTAAGCTTCCTTGTTCCAGACCCCTCATTAGGACAAATCATCTTGACAGCCATTCTGTTATATATTGAATAAAATCACATCATCTCCTTCACACTAATGAATACAGGTCAAGTCTGTCCAGCCTGTCCTCTGGATAACATCCCTTTGTGCTGGTGAATGATTCCCAATCTCTGAACTGCTTCCAATGCACCATGAGACAGCTATGGCTCACTTGTACAGCGTATGCACACTCTCACTCTCACTGTCTGCCCTTCACCTTCTTCCTCACCCCTGTGTCTCTCTTCCTGTTCCCCTCACTCACTCACCCTTTCTCTCTCGCCCTACCTCCCTCTGACAGACGTAAATATCATTAATGAAGGAGTACATTTAATTTTGTTTCTTTTCATTGTGTTTGCTATGGTACAGTTTCTACTGGGTTATTAATTTTCAGAGCAATTTGTAGTTGGAAAAACCTCTTAAAAAGCATCTCATAATTCGGACATATTCTGTTGGATTAAATCAAGTTGCCATTTGCCTTTGAGCTGTTTTGAAGAAGATTTGGTATTTCCTCTCAGGCCAATGTATCTATACTGGAAATTTCATCAGATGTTCCAGTTTTGAGTCATGGCTGAGTGTCACAAGCTAGAACTAAGCAGGGGACGAGCTGCTGTTAATCTGGGCATGAGTAATGCGACATGATTATTTAATGATCTTATCGTAAAGAATCCTCTTGGTAAGAATGGTCATAACATGATAAATCTTTACTTTCCTCCAATGAGGGGGAGGAATGTGGGTCTGAAACTGTAGTCTTAAACAAATGAGTTTCAAGGATATGAGGACAGACTGGACCAAAGTGGAATTAATAGGTAAGACAATGATCAAGAAATATACAAGCAGACTGTAAAAGCTTCCAAGGTATACAAAAGACAGAGGATAGCAAAAGTGAACATTGGTCCCTTTGAGAATGAGACTGGGAAATTAACAACAGGGTGGCAGAGTCTTTGAACAAATAGCTTGTATCTGCCTTCACACTAGAAACAGAATGGTTAAAAAATCAAAATGCAAATGGGAGAGGAGAATTCAAGATGATCACAGTCACTAGGCAACAGGAAAGGTGATGAGACTGCAGGCTAACAAGGTCCTGAACCCATGTGGCCATGTTCTGCGGCCTTGAAGGAAATGGCTGCAGAGATCATATATGCATTGGTTATAATTGCCCAAAATTCCCACAATTCTGGATAGGTCCCAGTAGATTGGAAAAACCCAAATGTAATACTTCTATCTGAGAAAGGAAATAAACAGAAAAAAAGACAACTGTAAGCCTGTTGGTCTAAGATCCATCATTGAGAAAATGCTGGAATTCATCATTAGGGAATAAGTTGCAGAACATTTATAAAATCTAATGTTTTTCAAGAAGATTTGTAGCTTGGGTTGTGGATGGACTTGTAGACATGCTCGCCGAGCCAGTGGGTTTGGTTGCAAACATTTCATCACCCTACTAGGTGACATTGTCAGTGCATCTCCTGTGAAGCGTTGGTGTTCTGTCTCACTTATTAAAATTCACAGAAGAGAACAACAACTGATTACCCTTCCTGGACATAATGGTAGAACGCAAAAACAACAGGGAACTCCAGACTAGCATGTATAGAGAGACCACACACACAGACCAGACACTCAATTACGCTAGCAATCAGCACAACACCCGCAAACAGAGCTGCATCAGGACACTATTTAAATGAGCCACAACACATTGTAGCAACCCGGAACTATGCAAAGCAGAACAGGAACACCTATAACGGCGTCTTCAAAAGGAATGGATACCCAAAAAGCACAATCCGCCGTTACCTCTGAGACAAACCACAACAGGAAGACACAACACGACCAGACTCACTAATCACCCTACCATACATCAGAGACATTTCAGAGATGACCACAAGATGGAAGAAAATTGACAATATGGATACACAAACACCAACTAGCCACCAAGAGACACGACCAATTCTCACTTGTCTCACTACACATGGCCAACGAGGGTCACGAATTCAATTGTGTCGACGTATAGATAATTGCACAAACCAACCAGAGACACACCAGGGAATTCCTGGAGGCCTGGTATTCCAACCAGAACTCCATCAACAAACATAGTGTTGAATTAGACCTTGTGTACAAACCACTGAAAAACAGAACCAGAAGTAACGCCAACCAGCCCAGCAAACCGAGGCATTTAAATAACAAACGGGACAGAACACCGACGCTTCACTGGAGGCGCACGGACAATGTTACCTAGCAGAGTGATAAAATGTTTTCAATCAAACCCACCAACACAGCAAGCATGTCTACACACTCATTTATAAAATCATAATGGAATCAGGCAAAGTCGGTGCTGCTCTGAGGTAACAGATGAGTTCTGACATGACTGCTTGGAGTCAGTGGATTGGTCAGTATTCAGGAACTCAGCGGCCACCCTAAAGGAGCATGCCACTGCTGTCACAGACTTCATCAGTATGTGTGTAGAGGACTGCGTGCCAAGGAAGTTAATCCGAGTGTTCCCAACTGGAAACCATGGATGAACCGGGAGATCCGCTCCCTATTGTAAGTCCAGAGCTGAGGTGTTCAAGTCGGGTGACCCTGACCTACACAGGAAATCTAGGTACGACCTTCACAAACCCATTGGGGATGCCAAGAGACAATACCAGACTAACCGCATGAAGACATGTCGACTTGTGGCAAGGCTTACCTTATAAAACGGGCTTCAAAATGAAGTTGAGTAGAATCCCTGCCAATAATATATCCCTACCTGATGAGCTCAATAAATTCTATGCTTGTTTTGAACAGAAGGTCAGTGAAGTGAAGTCAACTGCCCCAACAGCCTCAGATGCAGCCGTACACACGGTCACCACCGCAGATGTCAGATCAGCCTTCTTAGGCTTAGAATCCCTACAGTATGGAAACAGGCCCTTCGGCCCAACAAGTCCACAGTGCCCCTCAGAGCATCCCACCCAGATGCATTCCCCCTTAAACCCACCTAATCTACACATCCCTGAACATTATGGGCAATTTAGCATGGCCAATCCACCTAGCCTGCACATCCTTGGACTGTGCAAGGAAACTGGAGCACCCGGAGGAAACCCACGCAGACACGGGGAGAATGTGCAAACTCCACACAGACAGTCACCCGAGGGTGGCATCGAACCCGGGTCCCTGGTGCTGTGAGGCAGCAGTGCTAACCACTGACCCCCTGTGAGAGTGATCCCACTGAAAGTGACTAGCCCAGATGGAGTCCACAGGTGTGCATTCAGAACCTGTGTGGACCAGCTGACAGGAATAGTCAGACATCTTTAACCTCTCCTTACTCCGATCTGCTTCAAGAAGATCACCATCATCCTGGTGCCAAAGTAAAATCAGGCAGTGTGCCTTAATGACAACCA